CAAACTATAGACATGTAAATGTTTACCTGCCTGAGCTTGGCCTTCATAATTCCATTCCATCACATCAACAGGGTTTCTGTTGCTTCTGCTGATAACATGTTCTGTATGGCCACACTTCTTATTGTTTTTATTACTTTGGGGTAGGGACACCAGCATTTGGATTGCTCAGCTGCCATTTTACATACTTTGTGGGATACTTCTGGGTACTGCTAGCTGCAGCCACTCTACTATCAGTGTAGTCATCCCATTGTAAGAATATAATTTGAGGCATTTAGGAGCCAAGGTCAAATTGGCAACAGGCTTGTCAATTTTCACTTCTAGCCCAAGTGACAGGAAAATGATAAACCTACGTCCACAAATAGCTCAGCTGACAGGGAAGATGGGCCTGGGATGAAGTTCTCAGTGTACTCTCTCAGTGGAGCTCTCTCAGTGTGCCATGTGAGCAATCTCTTGCTTCATTCCACCATTCTCTTTCACCCCACTAACTAGCTCCTGGGCTACTTCTGGACACAGAGCTACCAGTCTTCCAGAAGATCAATATTGCCATGTTCAGAAATAGCCTGGGTAACAATTATCAGCATGGAGCACCTCTACTCTGAATATCTGTCACTCTGCTCAGCTTGAAAGGTGGCTAAAGCTTCAGATGCCAGCCTACCTTCAGTCATTTCACTCCACCACACTTTTAAGTAGCGTGATTGGTGGTGGTTACTTCATTGGCTGGTGATGCTGAGTGGGAGAGGAAATGAAGAATAGGAGAATCGACCAATTACTCTCCTGAAATTTTCCCTCAGTAATACTGTAAGGATAGGACCACTTGGAAGCCTTGGTACTGAGGCACATTAGACATCAGCCAGTGAGGTAGTGCAAATTACAGTATGTCCACATAATTTTCTGTCTCTGCCGTGACTGGATGGAATACACGTTAATGTGGTCATGAGGAAGATCTCATAAACCATCGTAATGAGAAGAAGGAAAAACCCTGAGGAACAAGAGGGAGACCCACAACCAAGACAACAGTCAGACAAAAGAAATATGAGTCCAGGTCAGAATTGTAATCTGAGTAGCATCACAGATAAGACCCTCCCTAGTTCTCACAAAGATAAGTGTGTGTGTGTGGGTGCATTCAGACCTGCAAAATTCTGTTACTATAATCTTATAATAAAAGTAGTTTTAGCATACATGACTTTGGTTTCTTAGACTGGTCTACCTTAAAGGGCTGACAACCATTTCCTCACTAGTCCCTTATAGTGCATTCATATCATCACCTAGCCATTGCTGAAGTGATTTTTTTCATTGTTTATGGTCCCACACCAATAAAGAAGTGTTAGAAAGCCTGTCCTCACTATTTCAATTTTGGCAACATTGGATGACTTTTTTTGTTTGTTTGTTTTGATGCCTTTCAGTCAGTCTTGACTCCTGGTGACTGCTGGACTAATCCCTGCAGTTTTCTTGGCAAGGTTTCAGAAGTGGTTTGCCCTTGCCTCCTTCCTAGAGCTGAGAGAGAGAGATTGGCCCAAAGTCACCCAGCTGGCTGTGTGCCTAAGGCAGGACTAGAACCCATGGTCTCCCAGTTTCTAGCCACTATACCAAATGGGATCTTTGGATGATTCTAGAACAGTGTTTCTCAACCTTGGCAACTTGAAGATGTGTGGACTTCAACTCCCAGACCTGTCTACACATCTTCAAGCTGCCGAGGTTGAGAAACACTGCTCTAAATGGTCTTCTTAATTGCTAGTGGGGAAAATGACCATTATCTCTTAGCCCACTGTACTACACAAAGTGTTGTAAGGATAACACTGGAGGAAGAAGTACCATGTACCCCATCTTGAGGTCCCAGAGGAAAGGTGAGATACCAGTCTAACAAAGAAAGCTAGGTGGTGATCAGTTCAGATGAGCACCTCACACTAAGGCATTCACCACTGTTAAGTAATTCTGTTTTCCCTCTAGAAAAAATTAAGTCAGCTTGAGCAGTGATAGTTGGCAGGAACTGATGCCCAGTTTCAATGAGGAAGTATTGTCACCTGTCCCATCATAATTACTCTTGGGACATCCTCTCCTGTTAGGCAGGTTAAGGAAGAGAACATGATTGCAAATGCCAGGAGGGCAGAGTGCCAAGCAAAACTAGCCCTGCTTGTCTCTTCAGTACATCTCCTCACTGCAAAGTCAGCCTTAAACTGGATCATTCAGCAATTAGTCCATGAAAGTTTGCAGATTAAAATAAAGTACATAAACACATCAATATTTGGGTAAGACATGATCCAGGAAGGCTGCACATGGCAATAGGTATTCTTAAATGCTGGTTGCTGAGAAAAATGGAAAACTATCCATCAAAGACTCTCCTGTAGCTACATTCTTCTTCTGAACATTTTACTTCATTTGACAAGGTTTACCTATGCCCAGCTGGGCTATTTTTTAGGCTTTGTAGTTTGAATTTTGGCTATGCAACTCATGATATGATGGGAGGCTAAATCCTTGATCTGACGGCTTACGTCTCTTTCCTAAGAACACTTACGTGGACCAGCTGCTCCTGCGTATCGTACTCTTTTGCACAACCTTCCCAGTGACAGTTGGTTTCATAAATAACTTCAGGCTCCTGCTTGCATTCATCCTTATCAAATTCCTCTTTCAAGTCTGTCAGAAGTTCCTGTAAGATATAAAGCATTTTAAGTAAGATGGACTGGCATTGCCTGAAATCCTCAGTCACCCATAGATTACCCAGCAGGTGCTATTGTATGAAAGGAGAGAACATTCCTGATCAGCTTAGGAAGACCTGCACTGAAATGTAGTTGCAGCAAGAGATAAGCACCATATGCTGCCCAGTTGGTTGGAAACGTGAGCAGATATTCCTCTTTGTAGTAAAGGCACATCTGCAGCCTGGGTCCTCTACAGTCACTTTATTTCCCCATCCAACTTTCTTAAACTCATTTTGCTCTCAAAAATTGGTATGGCTTTTTATCAAGGAACAAATATTAAGTACAAAACAAGAGCTAGGTGCTACAAAGTCAGAACCTGTAAAGGATTAAAGCTAGTAAAAATGATTTAAAATACGCAGGTAAGTTTTTTTAAAAGTTTTGTGTGGAAACTTCCCTGGAACAGTATTTCTTAGCAGGAAAGGGAAAGTGAGGATCACTGGCCAAAGACATTTAGCAGGCATGCAGGTTGATACAGACAGATGCTCCTTGAAAGATTTGAACCCTAAGCCATTTACTGCTTTAAAAGGCAAGCAACAGCACTTTACAATAGGCACCCAAGCAAACAGTGAGGGATGTAGGGATGTAAAAGAATTCTGCCTCTCGTTCTACTGGGGGCAAATATGGATATTTTGCTCCCAGCAGAATCCATGGTGGCACAAATGCAAACATTAAGTCAAGCCTAACCAGTGCCTGGCTTCTCCTTAAAAATTCATGGTGCTATGGTAGAAAGAGTGGATGTACTTTATTCAGCGTATTAAGGTGACCAGGAACGGGGGCCTTCCACTTCTCTTTTCTTGAACTGTTAAAATGCCCCTCCTTCTCTTAGCAGAGCAGAGTTTTTCTTTACAGGGCTTCCTGAAATGCCAAAGTGACCGCACCTTTTGGTGGTCAGAACTTTATGATCAGCTCTGCTTCACGTCCTCAACCGAAAGTGAGATGATGGGAGGAGCAGGAGCAAAGTTGCACGCCTAACCCTGTTCAGCATCCCTTTCAAGGCTTTCACATGTTCAGATGACTACATGGTAATCCAGGACATGTTGTGAAGAAGAGGTCTCTTACAATGAGCCCGTGGCGCAGTGAACACGGAGGACATTTCCATGGTTCATGAAAAGAGAAAGGAAAGACCCAGTGGCCACATCATACCTGAATAAAACAAATCCAAAACCCTCCCTTCATTGTTGTGGGGAGGCCATAAGAAAAAGTGCTCTGGACCAGAAATCTGTAGATAGGAAAATGGATAAAGGCCGGCCTCTGCATTTTACACTGAATGAAACTCCAGAGGCAGCCTTAAAGATAAGCCCAACCAGACTACGCCTATTTGCAAGAGGTCCCAGCTGGTACATCTGCCCAAACAAATGAAAGATACTGCAGCTTAAAGAAGTCATTTGGGCCCTAACTCTCAGGATCCACCTCCAGCCTGCAAGCCGTTCAGGAGGAGGGTAATTCCACCCAGAACTGACTAAATACAATCTCCTGTAAAGAGTGTAATACAAAGATAAGGATGTGATGTGTTAGATAATATATGAGATAGAGTGTAGGACGCTCAGTTAAAGAGAATGAAAAGCACGATATGAAAATAATGTGCTGATCTCTGAAGCAGAGCTCCATAAAGAGAAAAAGCTTGCTTCTTCGCTTCAACATTTCAGTGGTATGAGCAAAAGAAATCTGCAATTCTCAGAAACACTTCAAACAAAATACAAATGTGTGGTACATATGCTTTCTGGAGGACTGAGTTGGTAGATCACAGATTGATGTTTCCGTCCATAACCAATAAAAAGGGATGGCAGAAAATATGCATTCCATGCTTGGACAACTTGTACCCTGGAAGCTGCAGATGGCCCTGAACCAACAAAGTGCAATGCTTTTTCGATTAATAGTCAGATTGAATCCATAAAAACTTGTTTTATTATTTTATCTTTAGGCATTTGGGGTGACTTCTTATGGCAACTTTGAATTTTATGTCCATGCACACACACACACACACACACTTACATATGAGAGAATGTCAACTGGTGGGGCCTAGAAGGAGAGCCTTCTGCCCTATGGAATATTCCCCCCCCCCCAGAGGTGAGGCAGGCCCCCATCCTCCTGGCTTTCTGGAAAGAACTGAAGACCTGGCTGTGCTGTCTCGCATGGGGCGAGAAGAGACATAACCAACCCTGGAGGTGGCTGGCGCTGTGAGGACGCTCCCCAAGCCCAATAATTTTACCATCAATCTTGGAAGATATTTATTATTTATTATTTGTAGGTCTATTGTTTTATTGCATTTTAATTAATATTTATTCTTTTTCTGTAAATCACCCAGAGTTGCTTCTAGGGAGATGGGCAATGGCAAATGTGAAATATAAATAAATAGATAGATAGATAGATAGATAGATAGATAGATAGATAGATAGATAGATA